AGAAGACTTATCAGCCGTGCAATGTACTACGAGCGTAGTGGCGTTCGTAATAACGAGTCCATATAAGGAATGTCACATGATCAGACACGTGATGTCTTACGTCATTTATGTCCCACCCACAAACAACACGAAGTCGACACCTCGAGAATACGGCTTTACTTTCTATCGTAAAACTCTCGTCCCCCTTAGGGGCGGAGTTTTAGATCATACTTTTCACGTCCTGCTCATTTTGGGGGTCCTTTTTGCACAAAAATGCCTCCTAACGGATTTCGGCGCGCTAATATATAAGCGAAGCTGCCGAAGGCAGCGGTTTCCTTACGGAAACCCACTAATCGTATAATACGCAACTGGGGTTGATTGTCTTTCCAACAGTATCTAAAGTCAACAAATCCAAAAGATCTTTGCACTGCCCAGCCATCGATATAAGTACTGGTATTGTTCCTGCTTTTTAACATTAATCGTAATATGGAAGTACCCGAATGCGGCAAATAAAGTAAAGTAAGCGCCCCTGTTTGAAATCTAAATGTCCTAATAATTCACACCACTGGAAAGAAATATCCTAACGGTGATATATACACATAGCGAAATGCACATTCACGGAGAATTCTCCGCGAGTTATATTTACCGATAAAAAATCCCGATGAAATTGTCCGTGTTTTAGACGTCAAAACAAAATTGACGGAAATTGTCGTGATACGTTTATTCGCATACTGTGTCAAAGATTATGTTACAATACGAATGACCGTTTGGAATGTATATCTTGAAGAAATCCCGGTTTCGTCCATGTAGGTTTCAGTGTCCGTGCTCTTTCATTTGTGATAAAAACAACTTCGGGGTAATTGACATCGGACATTTTGAAAAGGACAAAATGTGATAGATCGCTAAACAGCTCTAACAATACTCAAAATGACATCACTCAATAGCGAACATCCTTATTATTTCTTAATAATTAACAAGATTTTAATAACGTACTGCCACCCAAAAGTAAGTACTTGCAGATTCCATCGAAATCGTTGAAACGTCTTCATGGGCAGCAAATCTATTCAACAAGACCCGTGAAGATTCCGGGGTAGAATAGATCTTCAGCAACCAATGCTTGCCGCAAAAGGCGACTAACGGGATCGGGTGGTCAGGCTTGCTGACTTGGTTGATGCATGTCATCGATCCCAATTAGGTGGATCGATGCTCATGATATCAATCACTGGATTGTCTGGTCCAGACTCGATTATTTACAGACCGCCGTCATATAGCTGGAATATTGCTGAGTGCGGCGTTTATCAACAAACAAACCAACCAACTATTCAACAAACCTATTTTCGATCACTCGTATAACTCGGGCGCCGTATGTCATACAAGCATTGCTTTGTCGTGCAATCACACAGACCGCTTATTGGTACTTCGGGTGTCGTGATGTGTTGTTAATGGTATTAATCTAACTTATACAAAGCTTGAAACGAGACGTAATTGGACAATTTTAAAACTTGAATTTGAAAGCTCAAGCTAGAAGTGTAGAGTAATCCATATTTAATACAAGGAAACGATAACTTGCACAAGTGAAAGAAGGCAATATTATTGTTTTACGGTGCAATTATAAATAATATTTAGATTAAATGAAAGAGAACATTACGAAAATATGAATTACCTTGATTAAAGCAGTGTTCAATGTATATTCAGTTCAGGTGCTCAAAACTCTGAACAAGTTTTTGTCATTATGACCACTAGAAAACATACACCCTCGTCTCAGCTTGTATTTCGCACTTGGCTGCCTTGCTTAGACCCTTGCTCAAAATACATATATACTTGTATGGCCAGTCCATGAAATACAAATTTTTCTTTCATATTGTTTTATAAATACGACCTTAGAAGTGTATTTACACCAAGGCATGTACATGCACATTCAGGGGCATACGTGCTAGAGTATTACCAGTAGAGTTTCCCATTTCATCTCACTGTATTGAAGGAAAAGTTTGAAATAGATAATGATCGTAGGCCAATGAAGGAAATGGAACTATTGTCATGAAAGGAAAATATATTCTTGGTACTGAACTTTCAAAATTGACCAACAAAAAATGTTTAATATAAAAAGCGTTCAGTTATTATGTCTTTCCTTTTCTTTTTTTTTGGCCTTGCTAAATTACAGTTTGGAGGGACGATATACAATTTAAAATTGTGAAAAATAGGAAAAGAATGCATTCATTTTGCTCTTAGACAAATATATATGTTTTTAAATCTCTTACTATGGATACAAAACAAAGTAATTACTGCTATGTCACTGATGGAAGTATTTGCTAAATTTAGATAATGTAGAGTGAATATAACTATTTAAAACATCCAAACGAAATCACATTTACACTGAAAACATTTTGTCTTTCAGAAATCGATAATCTATATATTGTGTGTAGATCTATTACCTTTACTGTTGATGTTATAAATTGAACCATTCGAGATTCTAATAGATAAAGCTAAAATATTAAAAAGTTAGGTTCTTTAGGATCCATTTTGACGGCTGTCTCACTGTGAAACATTCCATTCCATTGCTCAACTATATGCACATTATTTTCTTTGAATATCAAGCCTTCAAACAGATATAAAAGCACATAATTCAACATACCAAAATTAGAAAACTGCGGTGCCAAATATTCTAACAGTGTCAGTCAAGTGATAATTGAGCGGTCTCATTCACTCGTTGGTCGCCGTGGAAATTTTCCAATCGTGATGTACTAGATATACTTTCTAGTTCAGTCAAAGAGAAAAGTGTTATTTAGGAACTGAAACCACATGTTTCGGTTAAACTGCCACAACATTAGATCAGCTGTTTCATGTGACGTCATCCGAGTCAACACGCGAGGTAAAATCACGCGCACCTGTCCAGACGACAAATTCACAGCGGCAGGAAATCACCGACCGTCTATTAGCCTATACAACTAAAATTGCAGATTGTAATGAAAAAAAAAAGTTTACTCAGTGCTAACAGTTCAGAAAACATATCAAATAAGAACTGAAGACTTGCAATAGATTATCATGCGTTAATCGAGTGTACAGTGTACATCAATAATTTGTATATCTAATATCAATTAGGTCTAATATCCATGGAAGAATGTTGGAAATACGAGCTGTTAAAATATTCCATTTTCGCGCCATATTATCACAGTTTCAGTGAAAGGAAAAACAAATCGAAATCGAACCTTACAGCACATTGTATCCATAAGCGGTTAACCCAAATGCAAAAAGGTATTGCTGTCATCATTTTAGAAGTTATGTTGATGTTTTCAATAGTTGTATTATGTTTGTATCGCGTGTACCATCGACAGAAACGGGGGTCGAGCAAGCACATGTGAAACCGACCTTGACACAATTTGTTTACAGTATGGCGTCGACTAACGTTATATGTCGTGGTCACACGTTGCGGACTAAACGTTAGTTGTCTACACTAATAACTGTACAGTCAATCTTTCTGACCAGTCTGATCAGATTTCTTTTTTCAAATTGGCTGTCTGATATTATAATTGTTACGTGTATGTGACATGGGTGCATAAAAAAGATCGCCGTCATTCACATGAAGTTCAACACGGCAGAAAAGTCCGAGAAGCGCGGTAACTGTAGAAGACTAGAAGTGTATAAAATATTAGTTACACGATGTTAAAGCTGAGATGATAAGGGTAATGATGGTTGTAATTTTGAGTTTGCGCACTCACTGTTTGACATCTTAATTCACAGTTGAAAAAGGACATTTTCACGGGAGCACCTTTAGAATACAGTACCTCAACTTCTCGTGAGGACGATCTCTGTCGTAGGTCACATGTCTCAAAGACAAGCAACCAGTTTTTGTGAGAATCCGTCGGACGCGAACTCGCAACCTTCGGATTGTTAGCCCGACAGCTAACCGACTGAACTACGTCCACACTGTAAAAGTGCAAATTGACCTAATCGTCTATGACATTACGGAACTGAACGAAAAGGGTCGGATACGTGACGGACATTTACGAAGGTTACGGGTAGGCATGGTGTCTCGTGACTTTAGTTTACGGACACTTACGAATGATCCCGATGCCATTTGGTACACTCGTCCCATTCCGTAATCTACAAGATACCGAGTGGTGAGGAATGAGCCGATATGGCGCGAACTAAAAACGGCTCCAGGCGTCAGACGTCAGACGTCGAACTCGCGAATACGCATGAATGATATGGTATTTAATAATGATTTTCGTGACAGAAATGTGTGGTAGGGAACACTGTAAGGATGACGTGGATAATAGTAAGTAACGAGGGAGGAATAAGCATGGCTAGTGACGACACAACGGTGAGTTCGCTTTTGAATCAGTACTGAAAACATGTAGCCAGTGAAAGTGACTTGTGTGAATGTTCCAGGACAGTTTCCAGTCGCCAAAATATTCGACACAAAACCATTTCATCCTTTTTACTCGACGTTTTTGTGTGAAGAATATTAGGAGCCGCTATTTAATCTATAATAACCACTAAACGGGTAACCATTTAGTAACCTGTAATTGTAGATTGTAATTGATTAAGTATTTAAATATGCCTACCGACAATGACTGAAAAAAGTACTACTCTATGAATATTAGCTTCCGCGGTGATGCGGCCGTCAAACCATGCAGCTGTTTCAATCAGAGGGGTTTATTGTGATTTAATAGCCTCTGAATGACCAATCAGAATCGACTAATTTCCAAATTCATGACAGAATTGATCGTTGAAGTTTCATGAATCAGATATGGTGTTCTTTTACGGATGGCTTGCAGAAGACCTATTCTAACCCGGATGTTCACGGCTCGACCATTACTAAAATAGTTTAGAACAGGCAATGAATCCCGAATGAGGGACCAATATTGTTAATATCGTTTTAAACATGCCTGTGTTGATTACATATTTTGGGGTAATTATTTTATTGTAAAAATATTTTTGACGAACAAAGAGTTTACCGCCGTTGGTGCATCTCATCAAACGCTTTCTTTTTAAAAATGATGTCAACGTTTATTCGACAGATGGCGACAATAAAGCACTGAAGAATGTGAGGTCCAACGCTTCACGCCTTGCCAACCTCACCCAGTCGCAGGGTCGCCTACTCATCCTCAACGAGAACCTCACCCTACGATCACTAACGTCGGATGATGATCTGACCGAGCTGATACGAATGTGTGGCGACGCTCAGCATGGGAATCTAAATTACACAATGGAGGACATTCTTAAAAGTTTCGGTCGCCTGCCAGTGGACAAACTCCACCACTACGCCCTGTTAGGGGAGTACCTCCGATCCCTCCACGTCGAAAACAAAATGGTGGATGTGCTGATCCACGTCAGTGGACAAACATTTGCTGCTCACAGAGTAGCCTTGGCATGCCATAGTAGATACTTCGCGGATATATTCATGAAACATACTGAAAAAGTCAAGCTGCCAGTGGAGGTAAATCTGCCTGGCGTTAATCCATATGCCTTCCAGGCATTCCTGAGATATATCTACACAGGGCAGATGGTTGTCTCACCTGAGAACGTCGCCGACCTAATGGCGGTAGGGAACAGATTCTACATTCAAGAAATTTTGCAGATATGTTCAGAGTTCGTTCAATGTATAAACAGCGACCAGGCAGTGTACATCCTATCCAACCAAACCATCGCCCGTGATTCTATTCTGTTCAAGCACGCCTACATACTTGTGTTGGAGAACTTCTGCGATGTGTTCGATGTTGAGCAGTTTCTAAACTTTACCCTCGATCTGGTGTGTATGCTACTGAGCGATAACTACCTATACGTTCACACCGAGATGGACGTGTTCTGGGCGGGACTTAAATGGATCGCTTTCCACATCACGGAAAGACACAACCATCTCCTCAAAGTGATGAATTGCGTCCGTTTCGGTCTAATGTCACAGAGTGAACTCTTCCAGTGCTTCGAGGTCACAGACATGCTCCGGAAGTCAGAAAGCTGTCGGGAAATGTTAATGGCTGCAAGCTGGTAAGTATTCATAAAGAACACACGAAAACGCAGAGGTCCTGGCCTCGATTATACCCACATTTCTAATGTCCCCCCGCTTATATATTGCTGGAATAATGGTAACGACGTTAAACCAACTTACATTTTTTAATACCCACCCCTCCGTATAATAAATGACGGGTCCCTACAGGATGTTAAAATTTATAATCTAAACCCGTGAAGATCCGGGGTAGAATAGGTCTTCAGCAACCCATGCTTGTCCTAAAAGGCGACAGACTATGCTTGTCGTAAGAGGCGTCTAACGGAATCGGGTGGTCAGGCTCGCTGACTTGGTTGAAGCATGTTATCGATCCCAATTGCGTGGATCGATGCTCATGATGTCAATCACTGGATTGTCAGGTCCAGACACGATTATTTACAGACCGCCGTCATATAGCTGGAATATTGCTGAGTGCGGCGTTAAACAACAATCCAACCAACCAAGCAGCCAATTTTTTAAAGTAAAAAAAATGGAACTGTCATTTTGTCCTGCAATCATACAGTTATGAATTTACGGGACAGCCCCTCGCTCTGGTTTTTTTTCACGACCCCCTTGTATCTAACGTATTTGTGTATGCCTCATTTAACCTTTCACGTCTTTATCATTTAGGACTATTACAGCAGGTGAACTAGGTCGGCCTGACCCGCTTCAGCTGCCCAAACCTAGAGCTCGAATGTGCATGAAGGACAACTATGTGCCACAGTCTCACGAAACCTTCAAGGTAGTTTTAGTGAAGTGAAACATCGTTAACTCGAAACTAAATAAATCGATACATCGCTAAAAGAGATGACGGTCTAATATCGGCGCCCAGCTTGGTCTCGAAAAATTGATATACCTGAAACCTCGTAAGTGCGGATAGAGGTAATCCGGCCACATCACCTTCTGGGCGAACGCTGGGAACGTTAACGCAGTGACTTACTCCACATCCCTGATTCTTTTATTCGGACGATTACACGGGGTCACTACCGTCCGGACTAACGGTGGTTTTTTTAAGAATGACAATTCTAGATTAACTGCCATGGGTTTTCAAATACTGAAATAATGCCGGAATCATATATGTGTACGGTGTTTAGTTTTGCGCTATTGAATTGTAATGTTAAATAAGATGCATTATCGTTGCATCATGAACATTATTTGTTATTCTGTAGAGCATTATGGAAGATGAAACATCAGACGACTTCGCTCAGATGCCCTCTATTGAGGAGACCCGACAGGACATCATGCCTGCCAAAATGCCTCAAGCGATCCAAGCAGACAACCTGTCGATAGCATCACAGCCGTCGCCCCGGCCCGGGGACATCCTAGCCATTGGGGGGTTCCACAAGGGCGTCAAGGAAGGTAAGGATGTATGAAGCTCCAAACAGCGACATGTGCAGGTCAAGCCGTAGCTTTAAAAACGTAACAAACATACCGTATGACTGATCTCATTTGTGAGAGTGGCTCTTTTTGCAATATCACAGCGGGGGAGACCAGAAATGGGCTTCACACATCCTGCCCATGTTTGGAATCGAATCCGTGACGAGCGAACGCTTTAACCACTAGGCTACCCTCGTCCCAAGTTTATGTCTAAACGGACGTTTCAGGAAATAACTCGAAATCACTGATTTATACGTTTTTCGGGAAATCCACATTTTAGCGTGATCCAATTATTTTCATTTTCATGTTTTCTTAATAAAAACTGTAGTACCATTTCCAAAAACTTTAAGTTCATCGATGTGTGTTTCATTGCTGTTAAACACTACGCACACTTCAAACATTCCAGCAATATGTCGGCAGCCTTTGAATAGTAAAGTCTGGACCAGATAAATCAGTGGTATATGAGCAACGTCGTCGAGGTACGATTATGCAATCGACCAGCGGCCACTTGCACAAAGCGATCTTAGCGCTAAGATTATCTTAAGCCTATGTTAAAGTATGAGAGTTACGATCGTCTTAGCGCTAAGATCGCTTTGTGCAAGTGGGCCCAAGTTACGGAGCATGACCACCCGATCCATTTAGTTGCCATTAGATTGTTGGTGACCTATTCTAACCCGGAATCATGAAAACTGAATCATGTATATGTTGTGGCAATTGGTTTTCGAGCTATCAGGAAGCAAGTCATTTGAACTGTTAAAGATTCCCTTACAATACCTTCTTGCCAGTTCAAGCCAAGGACATTGAGCGCTACAGCACGACGGAGAACCAGTGGAAGTACTACACGGGCCTACCGGAAGCCAGGCAGCACCACGCCGTCGCCATGTTATTCGGAAAACTCTATCTAATTGGTGAGTGGAAGTTTTCCGAATTCCTGATTTTACTCAGTAGCACTTACAACATAATTATCATGTTAAAGTTTTAAACTCTATATTAAATCAAGATGATATGATCCAAGTTTGAATTGAGAATACCTGTTCTACTTTCAGCTCTCTTCAAAAGTAGATCGCCACGCTTACTAAATTAACATTACCAATAGACAAACATGGAAAAAACCCAAAACACTGGGTAAAATTAACATACCTATATACAATAAATCGAATTCGTTTCACTATGGAAATCTGATGTCCTGATTGAGATAGTAAAATAATGATAAAGGCATAGTGTTTGATAGTGAAAAAAGGCATATAATTTCATTATTTCAATCAGAACTTGAGATCCCTGTCGTTTCACACTGTTCCAGTGCAAGCTATTCCCTTCACTGACATAGAAACTCATTCTCAATACAATCAGATCTTTTATTCTGATAAGATCCCTCCCTGCGTGAAGATAGATATGATGACACTTCCACAGAATTCGAAGATCGGGCGAGTGAATGAATCCTGAGCTGCCTAGTTTAAAAGAAGGCTGCCTGTGTTCACCACCTCGATTGGGATATTTCGATGAAACAAAAGAAAACACATACAATATAAATATTCCCTCGACGATACTCTCTTTTGGATATTGACGTCATAGCGCTGAGAATTGACAGGGAGTGTATAGCATGTCCACAACGATATATTTACATTCGGAACATGACATTTAAATTCGCAAACATTTTGGAGGTGTGGATGTTTGTACATTCGTATCGAGAAGTTAGACGCCTCGACGCTGATCTTCAATTGAAGTGACCTCAGATCTTCAGTCTGAGAGGAATCGTATCAGAGTAAAAAGATCTTTAAAGTTTTAATGAGACTGCGATCAACGATTTGTTGCTATGTTGTCGTGAGGATCACACGGATTTACGTATGTTCTATAGCTATTTACTAAGTGTCAGACAATGCAGTTCGTAAAACTCACAAAGCCAAACATATAATCAACACTTCATAAATAACTTCTGTTGAATGTCCAAAGTTGCCTTGCATTTGTCTGAAGCTTCCGATCATCATTGCCTCTAGGTGGCAGTGACACTAAGAAGTCCAAGAAGATCCCTATTCCAACCAATACGTGCTACGCGTTCGACCCTTCCAGTGGAGAGTGGTCAAAGATAGCGCCTCTGAAAACCCCCCGGATGTACCACTCTGCCCTTTCGTTGTTCGGCATGTTGTATGCTATTGGTGGACAGACTGATAAGAACAGGTAAGGACTTCTTGTGTGACGTTTTTTCATGTTGCTATGGCTCGTGGAGTAAATGAGATCATGCTTTAATACATGTAACAATTTTGTAGAATATATTGGTTGATATTAACGCGGAAACCAATGATCAGGCCGCAGATCCAGACGTTTACCACTTTTGTATTGGTGAAACCCACGAGCCAGGGTATGATGCTGATGATGCAAGGGTCATAATCTGGCCGAATGTGAAATTAGAATCCATTACCTGCAGATACTGACACGACTAAGGGAAGCACCTCTGCACGGTCCAACATTCACTAGTCGTTGTATGACCGTAGGTACACCAATACCACTCCAGTGCTCATTGGTGTTACTGAAATAGAAAATGTCACATTAAACCCGTGAAGATCCGTATTTGAATTGGTCTTCACAAACCATGCTTGTCGTAAGAGGCGGCTAACAGGATCGGTTGATCAGGCTAGCTGACTTGGAAGATGCTTGTCATCGTATCCAAATTGCGTAGATCGTTGCTCATGACGTCAATCACTGGATTGACTGGCCCAGACTCGGTTATTTTCAGACATCCGTCATGTAGCTGGGATATTGCTGAAAGATGCAAACAAACATTTCCGTATGCATCTGGCCAGTCCCGGAATGCTACGAGTGAGGAAGATTTATTTTTTTTATCTTCAGAGTACTGTCTTCGGTGGAGTGCTACAACCCTAAAATTGACACATGGCACACCACTACGGACATGAGCGTACCCAGGTGTGGATTCGGAGCCTGCATCTCTGACGGTCGAATCTACGTGGCCGGAGGACTAGGACCCCCTGAAGATAAACGCTCCAACATGCCGGTCCTTAGGATATTTGAGTGTTTTGATCCCAAGTCGAACAAGTAAGTACCCTCGTACGGTTAACATTGCGACCTTAACGCTACGACTTTCCTACCCATATACTACGGTCGCAATGTTTTAATAGTTTCAGATAATGAACCTTGTACGCAGTATGTATACTGTATATGTTTAATCATAAAACGCTTAAAAGAGGAAATATATCGTTTTTCTTGTAACAAATCCAGGGTCTAGATTTTCGATTTAAAGGGCAAGGTCACACGGAATTGAACCTAATTTTCTTGTACTTTTTCCACAATAAAAGTGTTAACCTAGAAGTGTCATAGACAAAAATATAAAAATATCACAATTAATTAACATATGTTTTGCATTAAAACGATTTATATTTTTCACATTTACCAAGTGTTCTATTTCCATAACAAAAACACCATGGCTTATGCCCCTTGCAATATGACGTCATTGGTGCCAATTGATAAACATTATGACGTCATCATGCTTTGTTAGAGCCGCTTCACGTGGTGTAGGTACAGGTGTGTGATTCTAGCGTCTCAGATGCCAGCCAGCATAGTGTTATGCTGAGTCACCACTGCGCCGGAGTGTGTCGTAGGCCATGTTGTTTTACCGAAAACTTGATATCTTTTGCGTTCAGAATAGACAGGGACCCAGTTGAATTGGCACCAATTACGTCATAATCTAAGGGGGATAACTCAGGCCTGTTTAGCTCGAAAAACGAAGGCCTCATAACGGCATATCATTTTCACACTATTGTGAACTTCCTACTTTCACTGTGAAAAAAATGAGTGTATATTTTCAAACACAGATACTAACTAATTCTAAAATTGCGTTTTGTTTAGAAATAGAAAGAAAGTGATTTTTGCGTGTACACTTCCCCTTTAAGGAAATCGTACGGTCGTCGCCTATTTTCGAAATAATCGTAGACAGATATCGTAAGAATGAGATAGATCTTAAGATAGGTATATAACCTACATGCCTGTCGTAATTTTATGTAGCCAACATTTCATCTTCTCCCAAGATTGCGCCATGTTTTGCCGTGCATGTATTTCATGAAGATGACGGTGGCTTGATAAGAAAACCACGAATATTCTCCATAGGCTGGACGTTTCTCAAGCTGTCGAATGCACGGCCAGGCCAATTTTTCATTTGACTGAAATGCTGATCGTTCATGTCCTTTCATAACCGAAAATCAAGCATTCGTCAAAGCAGTGTTAGGCAGAGCTGGCCGACTGCTTATCAGTATAAGCTGAAATACAAATTTACAATTGAACAATACCAACTAAGATCATTGTTAATTTGTCAAAAAATGACATTTTATTTTGCTATACTGTTTGATTCAAACCTGACCCTTCGCAAACAAAGCAGAACATCCCACAAATTTTCGCCAGAAATGTTGTTTATCGCGAAAGCAGAAATATAATTTCTATCAAAGTCTATCCTGAAAGCAGTGTGAAACAGACCTACCTTTTCAATATAATAATTTGGGAAGGATGAAAACGGAAGGTGCCTGTGCATGCTTTAGTTATGACCGTGACCTTTTTGATAGCGTCAGGGACAGCCTATCGTAGTTCATACTCTAGTTGGGGGTTTCCCTTAGTTGTCATAAAGCGTTCCAACTTTATATAATTTGGATCACTTTCCAATCAATCTATATTTATTCGGTACTAGAGAGGACATTGGCCTATACTACATATGGTACACATAAATACACTGCAGAGTAATGGAGCATGCACTGTATAAATGTGTTTAGAATGGTGTTTGTTTGTTGTTTAACGCCGCACTCAGCAATGATCCAGCTATATGACGGCGGCCTGAAATATATAATTTGGAGAGGCATTCAGATAAGCAAAATTTGCTTGTTTACCAGTCCCTCCACTTTATGGAAACGAGCGTATAGTTGACAAAGTCATCTATATCCCCCGCCCATTTTAACACGTTATGGTCCCAAACCAGGTAACTGACCCAACATTTCTCTTAGCCCATGTCAAAATAGCTGCAATGGAAATTCTAAAATAAACATTTCTAAAACTCCTTAATATCAAATGGCACTAGTTCAGTATGCGCTTTATATATAGACATGCAATGTTTGGCAAGGAAATATTTATATGTTTATTTGTTGTACGCCATAAGTGAACCCACCCTATATTAAAACTTCAATCCAACTTGTTGCCATGGAAACATAAACAATAACAATTTCTAAAAGTGCTATATATCAAAAGGCACCAGTTCAGTATGTGCCTGGTAGACATGCAAAGTTTTGTAAGAAAGTATTTAACGGTTTTTGAGTTACGCTCTGGAAACGAACACCACCCCTCTAGAACCTAAGTCAAACTTATTGCCATGGAAACGTGAAAAATAAAAAATTCTAAAATTCCCTTAATAGTAAGAGGCACCAGTCCAGTATGTGTCTGGTAAACATGCAAAGTTTTTGTTGGAAAGTATTGAATGGGTTTTGAGTTATGCTCCGGAAACAAACTCTACCCTATAGAACCTAAGTCCAACTTGTTGTAATGGAAACGTAAAAAATAAAAAATTATAAAATTCCTAAATAGCAAAAGGCACCAGTTCAGTATGTGCCTAGTAGACATGCAAAGTTTTGTAAGAAAGTATTTAACAGTTTTTGAGTTATGCTCCGGAAACGAACACCACCCTTATAGAACCTAAGTCCAACTTGTTGCCATGGAAACGTAAAACATAAAAATTTATAAAACTCCTAAATAGCAAAAGGCACCAGTTCAGTATGTGTCTGGTAAACATGCAAAGTTTTGTAAGAAATTATTTAACGGTTTTTGAATTACGTTCCGGAAACGAACAGCACCCTTATAGAACCTAGTCCAACTTGTTGCCATGGAAACGTCAAAAATAAAAATTTAAATAAAATTCCTAAATAGCAAAAGGCACCAGTTCAGCATGAGTCTGATAGACATGCAAAGTTTCGTAGAGAAATATTTAACGGTTTCTGAGTTATGCTCTCCGGAAACGATTTCGGGACGCACACACGCACGCGCACACACACACACACACACACACACACACGGACGGAACCCATTTCTATATCCCCCGCCAACTTCGTTTGGGCGGGGGATAATAAATATGTTTATATCATATATAATTTCAGTCTTGGTCAGACAGTCCAGTGATTGACATCATGAGCATCGATCCACGCAAGTGGGATACGATGACATGAATCAACCATGTCAGCGAGTCTGACCATACGATCCTCGTTATAGTCGCCTCTTACGACAAGCATAGTGTCCTTATACCAAGCATTGGTTGCTGAAGACCTATTCTAACCCTGTTTAGATAGACGGGAGCAGTGACCCGAAGAGTTAAACAACCTGTAAACATGAGGCAAGATTGTTTGTTCTGTGTCTTTTTGAATGAAATATCAAATCGTTGGCCACCGAGATGTTCAGTGTTAAAACTGTTTGTCTAGTGGATTTTCGTGTTTCTTTTACTTTAGGTGGATAGCGTTGTCTTCCCTGGGTCGAGGTAGCTGCTACTGTAACCTGGTATGTGTAGGTCAGTACCTGTACCTTTGTGGAGGAGCTACAAAGGCCAACACCAAAGACTCCCTGCAGAGTATCGCCAGTATGATGTGCTACAACATTGAAACGGACCGCTGGAGGTACAAGACCGACTTCATCAAGCCGAGGCACAACGCTGGCGCCGCCGTCATCGGTGAGTCAGCCGTTTATATTCTCATGAGATATTCTTATCTTTCGGTGAGGTCCCCAAAACATATTATGTTTGTAGAGCTGTGTTACCTGTAGATTTTACGACCTACGGAACCAAACGCGCATCGTGTCTCTTCAAATGGAAAATTTAGCGCGGTCAAAGGCGCCGACTGTACTTTATCCTGCGATAAATTGGCTGACGTTATGATCCTGTTCAAATTACCCCCTCCGTGATCTAACGTATCCTTGGTGACATCGTTCTTTCATTACAGTTAAACAAGATGACGCATAAATAGTTTCTTTTAACTTCGAAAATTTGAATATTTTTCACCTGGGAAGAAGTGTGACAAGGTGATGTCAACCATCTCACTTGACGTGGGGTTTTCCTAAACATATTCAAACCACTGTGTCCGTGACACCACAACCAGAAAGTTGTCCGAGGCGGGCGTTGGTACCCTAGTATTTTTGTTGTTGTTGTTAACGCCACACTCTGGTACTCTAGTAATTATGTGTAATAGAACGGCCAGTGGCAAGTTCTTCCTTACCCATTTCCGTTTTTCTTATCTCGACGTTTTATTGGTAGGTAAAATGTTAATGAAAATCAAGGGCGGGTAACTTGAGATCTCGACAACCACAGGAATGGATCTGGGGGTTTGTGTAGATTTTCCGTAAAGGGAAGACCAGGGCCCACTTGGACAGAGCAATCGTCAGTGGACGCTGGAGACGTGGAGGATGATTGTTCAGCGACTAGAACAGACGTCACTTCTTAGCGATATGGACACAAAAATATGACAACAATACAAAATATGTTTAATGTCTTCTCTTATTTCGCAATGCAAGATCGACGCTAGGATAAAGAAGTTTGTATTGGCACACGGTTGACATCAATCGCGCCATAATCAAAGTGAGCTGTGTCATTGTGCTTTTTAATAAATTGAGATAAAATTAAAAATCTTAAAAATCAATATAATGTCGGTTCTGTATTTACTGTTTTATTCATGTTGCACATTCATATCAGTAAGGTGTAACAACCTAAAACCGTCCAAGAGTAAAAAGTAAAAGAAAATTAGTTGTGTGAACTTCAAGCATTTGACTTCACAGCTCGTAATAGTTCACAATCCAAGCTATTTGACACTGTAAAGTATTTATCAATATCATTTCACAAATTACAAACACATATTTTCGCTGAAATAGTTTCTCTGACAATTATGATATGTATCTCGTGTCTGCTATTGAACGCTTGATCTAAATCGAAATACGATCAGAGCCAACTGTAACGTGATAATCAAATAAGAAACTAACATTACGAATTATCGGCCCATCAAAACACCAGGTTTAAATAATTATTATTCTATTTCAAAACCACTACGAATTATGTCTTGACATAAAACCATAAGATTATTTAAACGCATTCATTACAGTGACCTAAATCAACCACATTGTAATTCCTTCTATCCCTTTCATGTTGCAACTGCCATCCACTTTGCAGGAAGCAAGATCTACCTCATCGGTGGCATGTCAACAATAGATGACAAACCACTGCAGTCCATTGAGTGCTATGATGCCCGCACGGAATGCTGGGATACTTCCATCCAAGACCTCCCATATCCGGCCAAGTGGCTGGGATGCGTGGCTCTCCCGGTTTCCAAATGAGACAAAAGGAGTTTGCAATTCAACCTTGAAGTCATGAAGTAGAACAATTAGTTTCAGGATCTGGATAAGTTGTAGCTTTGAGTGTATTTCTTTAAAAAGAAATTACATTAAAATAAAAAAAGGATATAATTAGTTGAAACGATTAGCTAAACTTAGGACAGGGGTTATTATGTTTACCGGTAATTCTTCTCAACAATCTTTGTGACACTGTTCAGTGTATTGGTGTATATTCTATCCCTCTTGGAAAGGATTCGTAATATTAATTTCACAGAGCTATCTATCCTTCTATAATGACCACGGTGATGAGCGTTTATGTACTATCTGATTATTTCTTCTTGTTTTGTTTTCAAGTTAAACATGTTATTGGCATGTTTCAGTACCCAGCAACTGATTCATTTCGGCTATCTTTCTTTTGTCCATAGGCTCAAAAATAGCTTGGCAATGGTAGGGACGTATTTGATTTGTTTGAGTACTGAAATTAGGTATTATTACGTTGTGTTAGGTATTTTCCCGTTTCCACATGCATGATCACAGTTTTGATTCTCATTTGTTTGCAAACTAATATTCCTTTAACGCTATTCAAAGTTCCCCGCCTTACTTTCCGACTTGTGATATTGTGGAGCTTGAAATGTGTTTATCAATTGCGTTCAACTTCACGTGATCAAAAATGTTTTTTGCTACACTAAATGATTCGTTATTTGAGGGTTTCCATCTGCGTTCGCGAGTGTGTTTGTGTGTCTAACTGGAGAGTTGCTTATATGTGTGTCAGGGATCAAATATGACATTTCTTTCGTATTGTGTTGAAAGATTATAAATATGGCTGTGAGTGTAAGAGTGGATTTTGAAATGACTTTTCCCCCAGTATCACGATTCTGAAGAACGGCGAACAAATATACATCTTTTGTACACCTAAAAATTTACGCTTGTGATCTTTGTTCAGGGATGCCAACAGTAATGTAATAGTCCTGGCAACGCATGTTTTATTTTCAAAGAACACACCTATATTAATTCGCCACTAAGACCCCGTTTCACAAGACAATAATAGTGCTGCGATACCATTCCAATGTTAAAATATGGGAGTCATTGTATGAAGTTGTGATATGATTGTCGTCTTTTCCGATCCATTTTCTTTGTGATTTCTGTTTTTATACATACAGTCTGTTGACTTGTATTGTATATTTTATACAGTCTTTTGATTTGTATTGTATATTTTACAGACTATATTTTACAACATTTTAAACATTTTGTATATTTTTGAAAAATAAAGGCTTCCACAGGACATATGAAACTCTTGTCTTATAAATACGGCTTACAGTGGCGTCCGTCTGTCTGTCCGTCCGTCCGTTGACGTTCGACTTAGAATAAGGGATGAACCTAAATGTTTAGAAGGATGCCTACATATAAGCTAGCACCATACTAGGACACGTGTGTTCATGTCGTTTAAGACCCGTGAACATCCGGGTTAGAATAGCTCTTCAGCAACCTGTTTGCCGTAAAAGGCGACTGTAGTTGTAAGCGGTGACAAACGGGACCGGGTGGTCAGGCTCGCTGACTTGGTTGATGTATGTCATCGTATCTCAATTGCATGGATCGAAGCTCATGATTTCAATCACTGGATTGTCTGGTCCAGACTCAGTTATTTTACAGACCGCCGTCATGTAATTGGAATATTACTGAGTGCACCCGTTACACAACGAACCAAAAATTAAACCATACCTTTAAGGTCCACTTAGTGGAACGGGTCCCAGGTTTTGTCTGGACAGCTCTCGTGGTCGTGCAATGGTCTACAGGCGTCCAAGAGAACGTTTTAACGACGAACATGAAAAAATTCCTATTCGTGATAGTAGTGAACTGGGGGCATTAGTCGGGTCACACACACACACTCACGCACGCGCGCGCGCACTGCACTATATACTGCAATAATCTTGAATGCGGCTTTAGCCCTATTTTACCTCACCTATATCTCTATGTCATGTCATTTATGTTTGATGGTATGGTATGAAGCGGTGAAGAACAGAATCACAGACAAGTCAAATCATAAAATATGTCGTTATTCAAGTAAAAACGTGGATCACCTGTCTGGCAAAAGAACGCATACACTTGAAAATAAGATTTAAACAAACAATTACAAACGCTATCAAACGTTACATAACGCCGAAACATTGCAACCTTAAGGTCCAAAAGAGAACCCGTTGGTTTGAACCTGCCACAATGAGGTACTTGATTTCTCTGTTTTATACATGTATGTATTTATTTACATTGTAAATTTCTTTTGCATGTTGCCAGTCTGTGGTAACACTTGATCCATGAATGATTGTCAGTTTTGTCATTTATTGGTACACATAGAAAACATCTCTTCTTAACGTACATACTTCTCAATATGTTAAAATGGTTCGCGTTTCTTTTTGCGGTGAGTATAGTTTAGTTTTCACAGAATAAATTGTCCAAATGCTCCAGACAGCACTGGTGCATAAGCGTTCATAAAATGTTCATTTAACACACAGCAATTAATTTCTTGATCCATCTGAACACACAAGAGCTGTGGTTGTTCTGTGCCATCAAGGCCACTGCGATTAATCTCCACAACGTCAGCTGTGGTGACAATAGGAACGTAGGCCTGAGGTGAAGGGTCGGTGAGGGAAATCTCGGTTACGGCAGGGATGTCGGAGGTGGACCAACCGAAATGAGCAGGACGAAAACAGCAATAACAACAATGTGTGGAGATATTTAGGTGTCAAAGTGTCAAGTTGTTTGTCGTGTAATGTCACACTCAGCAATATTCCTGCTATATGACGGCGGTCTGAAATAATCGACAATCAACATCTACACCTTATTCCTGCCTTTCAACCTGGCCATAACCCAAACATGAGGCCGAGATGAAGATTTTTATCCTTCTAGGAATACGGAAGCCGTTTTTCATTGTTGTTACTGATGACAATGAATTATGTTATACATTTACTTGATAGTCCGGGGCGGTCGGGTAGCCTAGTGGTTAAAGCGTTAACTCGTCACGCCGAAGACCCGGGTTCGATTCTCGACATGGGTACAATGTGTGAAGCCCATTTCTGGTGTCCCCCGCCGTGATATTGCTGGAATATGTCTAAAAGCAGCGTAAAACCGAACTCACCCACTACTTGATAGTCCATATTAAGATACAGTCCTAAGACCAATTCCATCGGCTCCCTTCCCCTGTAAGCAGATGTTTCATATGGTTTATGGAAAGTTTTTTTTTTACCTAAACCTACGGTTTTGTTGATATGCCCTATCTGTTGACCTGGAAACAAGCACCTGCTGATTATACAACACGAGATTAATCTTGGATTGGACTTCAGAAATGAAAAAAATATTTAAAGATTGGTTTGGGCTATGTTATCTTTATAAAGATAATCATAAAAAGAGCCCAGAGAATATTTGTATTTTCTGAAAGTGAAGATTTTTCCCCTTTCCGTCCAATGTATAAAAGACGCAATATGCTGTGTCCCTGCAGCTCCTGGACTCTCGCTTGGACGATACGCAGAACGGTAGTTTGAGATTAGCACTCAAGTTAACGAGTTTTCCTTGTGGCGACATGCAAACTAAAATTGTTTTGAACCATCATCACAAAAAAAAGACAAATATTGACCAAGAAATGGCGCCTGCTTCTCGTGAAAAAACAAAGGTGTGCTTTAAAAAAAAATATATTTGTATTCTACCAGAACTATTGGAATAATTACGAAGATTTTAAGAACATATATGTAATCTTCAGTGCCTTTCTATATCAGAAATTCGTGTAAGTTCATGTAAAATTCTTCAAGAAGTAGTGTACTAATACACTGTAAAACAGTTATTTGATATAATCGTATGAAGACCAAGGATGCGCGGTATTACCTGTATATCGGTAAATTGATGTTCGTTCTTTCCATGATACGTATCATGTTTTAATGCTCGCTATATCGGGTGATTTCAAATAGCTATTTTATCATGTGTTTAATGTTATACACTTGCCAAATACCTTCTAAATGTTTCCGTAATTCCAAAGTGCAAATTCGTATTCTTAAGTTCTTCTGTGGCAGCGGTGTACCACCAAGTCATCTCTGTCCCTCGGAGCGTGCATCTTTACGTATATATTAAATGAGTAAACATTATGATGTTCCAGCATCTCTTTTGGTTCCATTTAAGAACCTCAATTCCTACAGTGACGCGTTTAAATAAATGATTGGATAATCATCATATCCTCAGGCAAGAGCTTTTCCGTATCTACCGATAAATGAACACATGAGATCAGACTTCTAGACGACCTCAGCTGACACTACAACTGCCTTTCTACGGTAACTGGGGTATCATTGGGTGTGGACAGCACCCGCAACTCATTCTTACACTTCACCATGAATGCGGAAGGTTATACTTTCCCCACTACTCGGAACATTTTGACCAGCAAAATACACCCCTATATCTACTGACCACATTCTTCACAGGGAAGTCCAGCATAACATGGCTTTCTCGGAATGGAGCCCACGTGACCACGGACAGATGTAGTGTGTAACCCATGTCCAGGCACCTTGGTCGTCTGGGTATAACCAAAGTTAGAAACTGGCACTAGTCCTGTAGTTCTAGCCAAACTGACCGATAGTTAAAGTATCATAAAGACAGTAGAGATTTGCCATTTTATAGGGTTTTGCTATATGTTACCATTTATAAGGAGTAGCGGACTAAAACTCTTAGTTTCTACCGGTGATCACTCACCACGGTTGAAGGACGTGTTAACATTGGAGTCACAATGGCTGTGGAACGCATATCGAGTTGGACTCAGCCTTTCCTTTCGACGGTGTATCTCTGACTAAGGAACTGTGTCGGTGATGGTGCAGTTGAAAAAGTCCCGTTTGTTTTCTTACAGGCTACTGATACGATCTTGCCAATGTTACACCTACAGCCTTAGTTTATCGAAATATATATCGGAATATATTATAATGTCATTTCATCAAGAGATTGGTCATAAAGATTACCACGTTCATTATTTGCCAGATGACATTATTTAATAAATTGATTATTCTTTAAAAAAAATAAATTTGCAAATTATTCTAACAGAATCGGAAAATCATGAATCAGTACCGTTTATAATCTGTTTTCCTATCAAGTGTGACGCTAATATTGGACTTGCCAAGCAGCCCATGACCATTACAGACCCGTAATCTGAAGATCTGGGTAGAATAGGTTTACAGCAAACCATGCTCATGATGTTAATCACTGGATTGTCTGGTCCAGACTCGATTATTTTGCAGACCGCCGTCATATAGCTGGAATAATGCTGAGTGCGGCGTTAAACAACAAACAAACAACATGGCCTTTGTAAGAAAAGGATGGTAACTGTTGATGGTGAGGCATAGGGTCAAGTGTGACTCATGATTCAATGGAATCCAAGCTGAACCAGGGATGGACATTCTGCTCATAAAAAATGTTTTTAAAATTTAGAATTGGTAAAAAACATTAATTCTGAAGTAATGTTTTCACAATGAAAACTCATCAAAATAATACAAATACTACAAATAATAATTAATCTGTAAAAAAAATAAGATTTTTTTTTGCAAAGTGTAGTGTTAATATCAGTAAATTTTGTTTTAGGTGTTACATGAGTCACCATGATTCAAACAGCCAAATACGCACTTACAACGTAAATTATTTCAATCCATTCAAACTTATAACATTTATACTGTATAGGACGTAAATATGCCTATCTGTTTTATTGTCATAAAATATACCGATGTGTCAATATGTGCTTACAGTTAAACAAAATGTTGTTGTTTTTCTATTGTGTTTTAGATGAAATTGTCTGTCAAACTATATCGACACATCAAAATGACACATGAAAATCAACATAAAAAATCGGTAGCTGCATCGTGAGGGCCTCCATCTGCTTTCCAGAACCTGTTTTGTTCACTTGTTTTTGTTTTCGAAATGGAATCATTCAAAGTTCACTTTCGATTAAACAAAGCATACGCAATTCGAGGTAAGTGATTTAGGGAGATATTGGTATATAGGTTTAAAACTATTTTAAGGCTTGTAGCCAATATATGTCGAAATGAGCCGTAAATCCTACAGCGTACATTAGCAGACGTTTCTAACAGGTCGATCCGTTGCCCCCAGTACTGACATAGAAACATCTGATACTAAAGCAGAAAGAACGGATGATGGGATACGCTAACAACACCATTATGTCCTCAACAACTTTGTTTGTTGTTCAACGCCGCGCTCAGCAATATTCCAGCTATATGACGTTGGTATGTAAATAATCGAATCTGGACC